AAACCAAAGCTACACCAAGACAAAATTTCATTTATTTGTAATTAGAAATAAATATTTCACAATGTATAATTACATATTATTTTTGTGATTAATCACTATGCTTTAATTATGTTGTTCATTTTATAACAATAAAAATACATCCTGCATATCAGATATTTACATTATGGTTCATAACAGTAGCAAAATTACAGTTATAGAGTAGCAACGAAAATAATTTTATGGTTGGGGAGGTCACCACAACATGAGGAACTGTATTAAAGGGTCGCGGCATTAGGAAGGTTAAGAACTACTGCTTATTACTAGCATTTGGCAATTGCTGGAGTAAAATTATGGCATAAGATAAGGCATACCTAAATCCATTGGTATATTTTAATCATTCATCTCTCTAACAACAATGATAAAGAAATGATATAATGTAAAAAATATTCCTACTCCATGTTCTGATGGAAAGTTGCCGAGCTATTGCTTCTGAATTTTTAAACTAATTTCATGCGTTGTTCAGACTTGTATGAGAGTACTTTCAAAGTATTTAATAATAAATACAAATCTAGTGGTGTGTAAGGTAATTACCCTTATTAGCATAAAAAGTAGTTTGATTAGCAAGTTGCTGTTAATGCAGTTATTCAAAAATACTTAGCTCAACTGAAAAAAAAATTAAAACCAGTATGTCCATTATAATCAGTATGTCGGAAAATCTTGGCCAGCAACATTTGACCTTTGGCCTGACATATCACTTACTATCACTATTCCATTTTCAAAAGGAATCAAAACAATACGCAATGTGGAAGAAAGAGAAAACCAACATTTTAAAATACATGATCAGTTAGGTGATTATTCAGTCATGGATCCACTGTTTTCCAACTCACAATATATATTTATTTATTGAATGGTGAAGCTTCCTCCTACATATACTTTTATTTTCTTTTGAGCTATGAAAATACTGTAAGGTTAAATGAATGCAGACGTATAATGTAAGTAGGGAATTAGTTTTTCAGCACCCAAGTTTTTCAGAAAACATTCATACATGCCATGTGAAGATTTGACATAATGAACCAATGTAACATAGATGTTTCTGCTGTGATGCAATAGCCTACTATACATTTCTCTGATATATTTTTTTAAACAAAGCTTTAAAAAGTTGCCAGTATATGCTGGCTTTGCATAAAGTCCTAGGTTTGGTCAATATGTGTACAAAGCTTTTGACCTCGAACCCAACCCTGAATACATCAGATTAAAAGAGAATAATCGATCCATAAGCCAAGACAAAAGCTGAGCAGCCTGTTCCTTCCCTAACGTGATGGGGCTTCTACCTGTACAGTTAGTTCTTGATTTATGACCACAATTGAGCTCCACATTTTTGTTGCTAAGTGAAACATTTGTTAAGTGAGGTTTGCTTCATTTTACAATCCAAGAGTTGTGGTGGTGCAGTGGTTAGAATGCACTATTGCAGGCTAACTCACTGCTCACTCCAGGAGTTCAGTTCTGACTGGCTCAAAGTTGACTCAGCCTTCAATCCTCCCGAGCTCGGTAAAATGAGGATCCAGAATCTTGGGGGCAATATGCTGGCTCTGTAAAGCGCTTAGAGAGGGATGTAAAGCACTGTGAAGCGGTATATAAGTCTAAGTGCTATTGCTTTCTTGGAACAGTTTGATAAGTACTGTATTTTTTGGAGTATAAAACGCACCATGATTTTGAAGAGGCAAATTAAAAAAAAAAGTTTTTGCACTCTGCAAACCCCCCCAAAATGGCCCATTTTTTGCAAAAACTGGCCCATTTTTTTAAAAGGGCATGAATAGCCTTTAGGAGGCTTATAGAATGCTACTTAGGGGTCGGGGGGACCAAAAGCGAGCAAAAAAAGGCCCGTTTTTTGTGAAAACGGGGCCATTTTTTGTCAGAAAAAGGGCATGCATATCCTTTAGAAGGCTTATAGAGTGCTCTTAGGGGCTGGGGTAGGCTAAATTGAGCAAATAACGACCTATTTTTTGCTCATTTTTGCCCTCCCTAGCCCCCAGGAGCGCTCTGGAAGCCTCGTAAATACAATGCACGGCCATTTTGGTGAAGGGGCGGGTTTTCGGGAGGCCAAAAATGCTGTATTCAGTGTATAAGGTGCACCCAGATTTTCAGCCTCTTTTTTGTAATAAAAGTAATCTGGTAGTTAAGTGAACCTGGTTTCCCCTTTGACTTTGCTTGTCAAAAGTTTGCAAAATGTGATCACATGACTTCATAAGTATGAACCAGTTGCCAAGTATCTGAATTTTGATCCCATAATCATGGGGATGCTACAAGAGTTGTAATTGTGAAAAATTGTCGCAAGTCTCTTTTTCGGTACTGTTGTAAGGTGTGTATATGTTTATGTGTTTACCCAAATGTATAAGAATATCTTCATGTGAGCACTCATTAACAACTTTTGCCCCACTACCAGCATACAAACATGTTGTTTTTTTTCATCAATAGGCACTGCATTTCCAAGTTTAATTGAAATTTGTTTTCATTATAAATGCCCTTTATCTTTTGGAATCAGATTAATTTGCCTGTATCAACCTGCTCATATTAGAAGAATGCTTTTGCATGCACTGCTCACTTGGTTGTTATTTAGCTCCACTGGGCATGAAAAAAACATCCCGTTCAAGGATGACTCCTTGCCTAATTTTGTAATAAAAATATAAAGAGCAGTGTTCTATAGATCATCATCACACTTTTAAATTAGAAAACAATACATTGCAATTCTATGTTTGTCTAGAATTCATTGCAACTTACTCCCATGTAAATGTTAAGATTCCAGCCTTTGTAATATTTAAAGTGCACAAATGGCAAAGAAGATGGACATGAAAACTGTGTGAATAAAATCCACTATTAGTATGGACATTTTAATATGAGGTTGTAAGATGATGTAATGTATTACTTAATAATACATGTATTTAACTGTATGTAAGATTAATATTTCTGCTTGACATGAGATTCCATAGATCAGGGGTCCTCAAACTTTTTAAACAGAGGGCCAACTCAAGGTCCCTCAGACACTGGGGGGGGGGAGGGAGAAGAACCGGCTGGCTAGGTGTGGCTAGATGGTCATGTGACGGGTGGGAGTGGCCAATTTAACAGTCCATTAAACAATGCACACAAATTAAACTTTAATTTGTTTTGCTCCTAGAGGTGTTTTATTTACTTTTGTTTGCATGTTGCTTTTTTTGGTTGATTTTTCTTTTTACTAGATGGTTTTTCAGTTGTTTAGGAGTCTAGTGGTCCATTTTTATTACAAAATCACAATGTTTAGAGAGGCGTGTATTTTTCCTCATTCAGCAGATAAACCAGAATTTGGTTCTGTCTCCTGCATCATGGGAGACGGGTTCTGGATTCATCGAATCATAGAGCTAAGAGAGATAAAGCTTCATCGAATCATAGAGCTGAAAGAGATAAAGCTTCATAAAGCTGCCTAAATAGTATCTCTTTGTATAAGAAGAGATAGCGTATTATTTAATAGCAGAAGGGTGTACTTATCCTTTCCTAAATGTGTGACCAGAATGTTTTTCTTCACATAATGAATATAAAAAGTTGTCCAATTTCAAAGAAACGAATGGTCTCTTTAACATCTATTCCCTAACTAATATGTGGGAAAATTTATCATATACCCTTTGAGAAGAACGTGAGGTTATAACATGCAGGGGGGTTGAAACAATGTATAACTATTGTTATGAGCCTGAGAGTGTGGTAGGCACTTAGAGTGAAGGCCACTGGTGGCTATCCTGACTCATCTCATGACCCACTGCTATCCAAACTATTGTGGTTTTTTAGGATTTCAGTTAGAAATTCTCTCCAAAAAGTTGCTTTTAAAAGAGAGAGAGATTAACAGATGATCACAGCAATATGGTCCCTTGGCTATGGTATACTAAGCAAATAATGTGTAAAATTATATAATTTATGCTAGACTGATAAATAGGATACAAAAGGGATTTTGCAAAGCTGCTTGCTACAAAGTACCGTTCAATTTTTTTTTAACCATTTTCCGTGTTCTAGAAAAGTTGGTGTAGCTCCTTCAACTTTTCCCAGGTTTTTTACATGTACATGCCCAAACAGCACTTCCACTGACACTTTTTGCGGAACAAAATGTCCATGCATGTACACTACAAGCAATTATTTATTATTTGTTAAACGTGTAATTTAAATTATTATTATTGTTATTATTGCAGAATTAATCTGGGAAAGCAACCTCGGATGCCTTCAATAGGGGCAACTGTTTTGGTGCTTTGAGGATGGCTGCTTCATTTTTGCAGATACTTTGCTCAGTACTAATTTGGACTTTGCTTACATTTAAGGAAGATCAGTGGATCAAATTGTTTGTTGATTCTTTTTTATATCTAATCCTTTTTCATTGTCTTGTTTGCATTCTACTAACCTGTGAAATCACCTAGAATACAAAAACCATATAAATTAAATCTGTAGCTTTGCAACTCGGTATAATGCATTTCTGTCCAATGCTAACATAACAGGGAAAATTACTTGTAATTCCTCATTTCTGTAAAATCTGGAGAGTAGAAACTAAGAGAAGGTGACCTCCATGTTGTAAAAGACTTGCCCCAATCTTGTTGATCTTTCAGATTACTTAAAGTAGAATACTTTAGGACACTTTTTAAATTAGTCAGACAACAGCATGGGAATGGTAATACGCTCCTCCATTTATTTAAGCTTTGTTTTTCTTATTGTTGCATTGTGTTCTGTATTAATTTTGTACAACATTCAATAGAATGCCCTGCATTTTACATTTTCTGTATTACTGAGAGTTATAATTTGTCATAATTTTTTGTTTCCACATTTCGATAATGCTTTTAGCCATAAAATTGTGGCAGTATAACAATAAAATGAATAATAAATAAGTATGGAACAAATACATTAGCAAATCAGTTATCAATTGTTGGCTATATAATTCCATACATTAATTTAATTGGTGTTTTTCCTTTTTTTCTAGATACGGTTATATAGAAGGCAAAATCGTACTTCCCCGGCATACTCCTTATTCACTCTGTGCAGCAAACAACACAGGAGTTTATGTACTTACTTCAAATATTTCTGACCGATACGATACATATTGCTTCAATTCATCAGGTGTGTTTTGGGTTGGTCACATATTTTCTATTTCTGGGAAATTTTTCTGTTTGACACAGAAACACAGTAGAATAAAGATAGGAGGGAAAACAATGTGTACGAAGAAACCATTTGCTCCTGGTCAGCATACCTCATGATCCATAAAATTGAACAAATTCAACAAAATGTACACTATGATCTGATAGCTGCTTTGTAGCAAGCACTCTTGGTATTATGCTCTTCAGCAAGAAAATACAAGAGTAAAAACAGAATATGGTATTGAAGTCTGTAGAACTATTGACTCTGAAACTGGCTTGTTTTGCTCATATGCTGTTTCAGTCCTGTTACAGACTTTTAATAGTAGATGTTTGCAGAGGAGAAAGACTATAGAGATGTAAGTGACAGGTGCAACACAGATTCATCTCCCATATGCTGCTTTTGTTCCAAAGCATGAACTTTACTTGCTGTTTATTTGGTTAGGGATGGTCTTGATTAATAGTTCTGTCATTGTTGTCTCTAAAGGCAAAAGTCCAATGTAGTTTAGCAGCTGGAACAGTGAAAGAAACAAATAAACCATATGAATTTTATGGAATACGAGTGTGTGTGTGTGTGTGTGTGTGTGTATACATATGTACACCCTGATATATGTGTGTGTCTGTGTGTGTGTCTGTGTGTGTGTCTGTGTATGTAATGTAATATGTTTTATTTGTGCTGATAAATAAGTAAAGGGAGACAAGTATAGATCTATTTCAAGCTATTTAGCTCTCATCAGCTAGCCCAGGTTCAAATCCCAGTAAGGGTATGGCTAGCTGATAAGAGTTAAATAGCTTGAAATAGATCTATACTAGTCTCCCTTTATTTATTTATCAGCACAAATAAAACACAAATATAACAAAGGCAACAGTAAAAATATTGTGTTTCTGTCATGATGGACTCTTGTGACGAGCCGATTGACAGAGAATGGAAGCAGTTAGCTTCCTCCCATAATTGGGGCATACCAGGGGTTGTGACTTTAAATATATATCACGACAGATATACAGATAAGAGTCCATCATGACAGAAACAACACACACACACACACACACACACACACACACACACACACACACACATACATAAAT